AAACCTCCAGCCTTCTCCCCGCTTCGCCGGCCCTCTCACCCCTCCTACCCTGGCCCAGCTCGGGAAGTGCCGGAGGAACTGTCGAACTGAACTCTTCTTAGGAAAAGATCGCCAAAGGTCCAGTCTTTTTGAACTAACTTAAGAAACAGCAGTCTGTGTAGCCACATTTCAACCCGGCCAGGGGACAGAGGATCACATATAATGTGACCTCAATGCAAAGATGCCCAGACCGCTTCGATTCTCTGCTGCGTCTACTTTAAAGCTCTTCCGGTTTTACCTTCCTTTCCTTCGGCGGTGGAAAGAGCGCTCAAGTGGTCAGCGGTCAAGAGGCTTTCCCGATGACAGTCAGCACTCCCAGCTCTGCCCATTACCAGCTGGGGGTGTTGAGCAGATCGCTTTACCTCCCTCCAATCTGTTCCCTTTTCCATGGCCACTAGGACACTTAGCGAGACCAGGAGCGCCAGGGTGAAAGAGGAGCAGGCTCAGGGGCCCAGCCCTGGGCTATGGGCCGGGGACGCGGAGAACCAGAGCGGAGTCAGGTGGAAGAGGAACCGCTCCAGCTTCAGAATAACTTTCCCTGAGTCCTGGCCAGCTCTGCCGTCTTCTCGGGCCTCACACCACACTGTTGTAGTCCCTACATTCAGCTAGTGCTGGCTTCAGCTTCCAGAGCACCAGGGCCACTCTCTGGAAGACGGCATGCTTTTCTGAGTTGATCCTTTCCTAGCTCATCTCCTTACCCCCTCTTCCCACCCAAATCACTACCACTCACCTCCTCCGGCGTTTAATGGCCTCCAGAGTACTCCTCCCCCATCTGTGTCCCCAGCTGGGGACACCCCAGCTTATTTGGGAAACTGCAACCACCATGGCCAATGGCCCCGCCACGCCCTGTCTGGGAAGCAGAGGCCTCCCCCGGCAGTGTGTCCACTGTGCCCCTGGCCCTGCGTGAAGTGCCATCAGATGCCCCACATCCCTGCAGCAGGGCCCTCGTGACTGTGCTCACAGATGAGGACACTGAGACCCAGGGAAGTCACTTGCTTGCCAAAGTCACTCAGCAAACCAGCTAGGCCTGGAGCCCCTGCAGTGGGAGCAGGAGGGCCCTGCACACATCACATGTTCTAGTGTCCGAAATCTGAGACTGCCTCCCATGAGATTACTGTCTAATCCACTGGTGACAGTCCAGCTGCTCACCTGTCCCCAGCCTCAGCTCTGGTCCCCAGGGCCTGCACACTCCTGGCAGGGCATCCTGATAATTAGTGCAGCCCTCCCCTTCTCCCTCCCCCCAGCCCCAGGGTGGTGGGGGGGGTCTTTAATGCATAGCCCCTGGGAGTTCACCCTTCTCTTCCTGGTGGCCACCCCATAGGAGGTGTCCCCGTCCTATGCTCCAGCATCAGAACAAGCCCAGGATCCGTGAGTGCAGCCCCCTGTCCCTGTGCGTTTCCTCTGATGATAGGATCCCTTCGTGCCACCAACCCACAGGGAAAACTCCCCGAGTGTCAGAAGCGGCAGCGTGGCTTCCTGTTCTTGGTTGCCGTGGTTGGGTTTTATCTGTCTGGGTGCGCCAGGACATCTGTACCACATTACTCTTTCTTGGCATCATTCCCCCCCCCCCCGCCGCTGACTCTGCTAACTTCTAGGATGGGTGTGGTCAAGAGGCTGCCTTCTTCCCACCATTTATCAATTCAGTTGCAAAAGAACCAGTACTTCCTGATGACAAGCAAAAGAAAATAAGTTAAAAAGAATCTGGAGAATGGACATTTGGTGTGTTTTTACATGTGCCAGGAAGTTTAAGCCAAAAATAATTTGCTGAGCACCTTTTAGGTATCAAGTAGTCTACTAGACCCTGTGGTAAACAGAGCAGTGAGTGAGCTGATAGACAGCCGACGTGCTGTGGATGTTGAGGCGGGGTTTCACCAGAGATGAGATTGCCGAGGTGGCTGGTGGAGCCCTGAATCTGGAGGGCTTTGAACGCTTCAGACAGCATTTGCCAGGGGATATTCATGGGTGTTATAGGGAAAGCAAGTCTATGTTCAAATAAAGTTGCGAAATAGGACTTTTTGAAAAAGAGTTAAGAGGTTTTTGCCTGGTTTGGGTGGGTTTTTTTCTTGCAAGACTCGCCAGCCTTTGCTATGCTAACAGGCATTGTGAATCCCCGAAAGGAGCAAGACAGAAGACAGCGTTTCTCAGATTTGCCTGACTGGGGAACCTCCTTTTTTCCCTTCATACAATGCATCTCCCAGGATGGCGTTTCTCAGCAGACACCCTGTGAGATGCCGGCCTTCCGCTGAGATGATTTCAGCTGCCAAGTGCCAAGATTGGGTGGGCATTTTTTTTTAAGTACACTCTGGAAACAAATGTAGGCGATGGACTGGGAGGGGGAGAGGCTGGAGGCAGGGAAACCTGCTGATGGGAATGGTTGCTAATGTCTGTTGGCGGCACTGTGCAAAGAACCTGACGTCCATCATCTCGTTGAATCTTCCTAACAGCGCACTCAGGTAGGCGGTGCTGTTACCTGCACTTCACAGATGAGGACAGTAAGGCTTGGAATGGTCAATCGTGGGCCTGGAGTAACCCAGGGAGTAAATGGGAGAACTGGGGTTCTGTCTAAAACTGTCTGACCCCAGAGGCTGCCTCCTGAGCACTCTGCTGCACCGACACCCAGCAGGAATGGAAATAGCCCAGGCCAGAGGTGACAAGCAGTGAGGACAGTGGGGCGGGAGAAGATGGTTCCCCCGAAGTAGAAAGGCCAAGCATAAGAGAAGCAGTACTGGGGGGAGTGGTGTAGGAGAGCGGGGTGTCTACACAGAGGGTAGCAGCCTGTGCACCAGTGTGGGGGGCTGGGCTCCCCTCTCCCTGATCACCTCTTCCTCTTGATGAACAGTGTGAATCGAGGGGTGGGGGGCTGTTCCCCTTTACCCCACACACTTCCTGTAAGCCATGAAGGGGAAAAAGCGTGGCGACCTTGCCCATCCCTAGGCAGCACCCCCAACTCCCCGGTAGCCACCAGCTGAAGAAGGGTCACCAAGCGTGGGTTGGCCCTCATGCCCAGCTAATGGCATAGGATCTGGGAAGCCGCAGTGTCATTCTATCCCAACGTGTTCTCCATGTGCCACCAGGGAATCCTCCACCAAGTCCCTGGGCCCACTTTCCCCTCAGGCTGCCCCGACAAGTTCCGTGCAGGGCACCAGGGGCCCAGGGACAACTGGGACACAGGGGAACCCTCCACTAAGTCCCTGGGCCCTCTTTCCCCTTGAGCTACCCCGAGAGGTTCCATGCAGGGCACCAGGGACCCAGGGACAACTGGGACACAGGCCCTGCCCTCTAGGAGTAGTGGGGCAGGTTCAGAAAACAAGTTCTAAGGCAGATTTGAGATCTGAAGCGTCACTCCCACTCAGTAGAGCCCTATATCAGCGCTGTCCAAGGAAAACATAATGGGAGCTTCATACAGGAGACACATGTGGAATTCTGAATGTGAAACATAAGCAGATGAAATTGATTTTAGTATTATGAACCTAATATATCCAAAATATTATCATTTCAACATGTAATCAATCTAAAAGTTATTACTGAGGCGTCTGACATTCTTTCCTCGTGCTGAGTCTCTGAAGTCCAGTGTTTTGCATTTACAGCACATCTTTTTTTGTTTTGTTTTGTTTTGAGACAGAGTCTCGCTCTGTCACCCAGGCTGGAGTGCAATGGCACGATCTCGGCTCACTGCAACCTCCGCCTTCCGGGTTCAAGCGATTCTTCCACCCCAGCCTCCCGAGTAGCTGGGATTACAGGCATGCACCATCATGCCCGGCTAATTTTTGTATTTTTGTATAGATGGGGTTGGCCAGGCTGGTCTTGAACTCCTGACCTCAGGTGGTCCGCTCGCCTCGGCCTCCCAAAGTGCTGGGATTTAGAGCACATCTTAACGTGGACCGGCCACGTGGGACATTGGCTCCTGTTTTGGCTGAGGCAAGTCTGGATTGTGTCCAGTTAGATGTATCTTTGTGATGTATCTTGTTAGATGTATCAGAAAGATACGTCTAACCTGAGTGACACATTCCGACCTGAGTGATGGAATGGGCAGAAAATAACCGGAAGCCTCCTGGGGATTGCTGTGGGTCCACGGCCTGGGTCTCGCGTGAATTTTCACTTTCCTTACTCGGCCTCCCTGTCTCCCACGCATGTGAGAGCATCAAGACAGGCAGGCTGTTGAAAGGACACTGCTGGGCTTTCAAGATAAAGGGTTTGAGCGGAGAGCTGAGAAGTCTGTGCTCTACCGGTTTTGATTCAAATCCTGATTTCAGAAGCCAATCATTTTGTACAAATTGTATTTGTTCATCAGACATTTGTTGAGCAGATTTTTTCCCCAAGTACCACAGAGCCTGCAGGCACAGGGATGAGCCCCCTTGGAGACGGACCTGTAAAAGGTTCCGTGGGCGCAGGGGTGAGGGACCACATAGCAGGAGGCACGAGGCAGCATCCTACCTGACGGGCTCTTGAAGGACAGGCACACGTTTGCCAGGCCAGTCTGGCTGGAGCAGCTCATTCCACCCGGAGGGCAGGCAGGAAACAAGGCATGGGTGAAGGCTGAGAAAGGTCTGTGTGGGGCACAGTGGGGTCATGGTCTTGGGGGACATGCAGTGCCAGCCCCGAGCCTTGAGCGGGCGCCCAAGGACAGGACAGGGCGTGAGAGGTGTGGAGAGGAGGTGGGCTGGCCCTATTGCACCTGGGAAGGGCCCCCAGCCTGTGTGGAGCATAGTGGAGGGCGGAGCTGGGGGCCCTGTTGGGAAATGATTGCAGTAACCAGGCTGGAAACAAGGCTAGAAGGAAAGAATGAGCAGGGGAGATGGCTTCAGAAGGTGGACAGTGGGGGTGAGGCGGGAGGCGTCGAGGATGGCCCTCTGGCTCTGGCTCTGGCTTGGGTGACTGGGTGCCTTCCCCCCGGCCGTGTGTAGAAATGCATTGAGCCTTCTCAGTGCGTCCTGATGTTTTAAGTTTCCACTTTAATGCAGCTGCAGAGACTGCGTCCCACCCGACCGCCTCCCAAGATACAGCGCTCGAGGCCCGTGAGTAACCGGTGGTTCTGCCCTCCCCACCTAACACTGCCTGAGCCATTCTCCCCTCAGCCTGACTAAACCTCCAGAGTTTGGACCCTCCTGCCTGGCAAAAGAAAACTGGGAATTGGGTTTTTCAGCTTCCCTCTCTGTGTGGCATGAACTTGAGCTTGCATTTTCTGGGCTTCTCTCGCTTTTTTGTGAATAAGTTTGGTGATTTGCAGATCAGAGCCATAGGTAGCAAGGGGGCCACTGTGTGGTGTGTGTGCTGTGTATGCATCCTTTGAGCAAGCCTCACAGGGTGAGCAAGGGGTTGAAAACCTTCCTCCATACCCCTGTTCCTCACAAAGGAAGCAGAAGTCCGGGGACAAGGGTCTCATTCCTGCCAGATCTGGGTCTGGAAATGCATTTGTACCTTCCCATGGGTAGAGGCTATGTCCAGAGAGTACAGAACCCGCTCATATGGAGACAGGTACCGCTCCCCTGCCAGGCCTTCCCTGGAGATCCACCTTCCCATGTAAAGTGCCAGGTGAGGGGAGTGGTGGTGCACGCCTCTAGTCCTAGCTACTCAGGAGGCTAAGATGGGAGGATCACTTGAGCCCAGGAGGTTGAGGCTACAGTGAGCTATGATTGTGTCACTGCACTCCAGCCTGGGTGACAGAGCAAGACCCTGTCTTTTTTTAAAAAAAAAAAAAAAAAAAAAAAAAAAAAAGCCAAGTAAGGATGGAGAAGCAGGACAACATGTGATAAAGCCACCGTCACCTGGGAATGGGGTGGGAGGTGAGAGAGATCTGTCCATGGAAAAAGATTGGGTCTGGGTCCCGTGTTAAGCATCAGTGGAGCCGTTTTCCATGGTAGGTCAGATTTCGGCCTTGCTGAGCCATGCGAACTTTGGCAGGTGCTTTGAAAGTGGGAAACCTTCCAGGACCTTTAGGTGAGGGCTGTTTATCAAGAGAAAAGTTTCTCCATCTACCATTCAGTGTGGCCACCACTCTGTGGCCAACCAGAGAGTACCCCACAACCCAGTGTCCTAGCCCTCCCACCCTCTGCAATGCACATGTTCAAATCCATCTTGTGAAGGCCAAGAGGCTGGGGCATGCAGGTGAGCAGGTGGATTGTGTCTGTTCACCTGGGGAGATGCACCCAGCATCCACCGGGTAGCTGCTCTCTGGGTGGATGTTGGCCATTCTGTGGCATAGGTTTCCTTTCCTTCCCTTACCTGCTGTGGGTGGGAATTAGAGGGCTAGAGGGGAGGCCTGGGGGACTTAGATACCTTCCCCTATGACCGTCGTGAGTCCACACTCCCAGCCACATGTGACAATGGATCCATCGCATATCCCCAATCACACTGTGGTTGGCCCAAAACCCCATCAGCACAGCTGGCAAGGAGCTAGAATATGTCTGCTCACTGTCACTGGAAAGAAGACAGAAGCAGCAACAAGAAACTGCTTTGGGGGACAGGAGGCCCCTTCTAAGCAACCTTGTGTGACTAGTGAGAGTTTCAGTATAGTCCTTAACAGCACGGATTTGGGAGGCCGACAGAGCTAGGCTTGAATGCTAAAGTCATGTGACTCTGGCAAGCACTGAAGCTCTCTGAGTCTGATTTCACCTCCGGGGCTGTGCCCTCATTGCTAGAGGGGTTTCATGAGAAGGAAAGTGGATGACATTTGTAGAACACATACAGTAACAGTTCTTATTTTTATTTTTATTTTTTTCTTTGAGACGGAGTCTCACCCCGTCGCCCAGGCTGGAGTGCAGTGGCGTGATCTTGGCTTATTCACACCATTCTCCTGCCTCAGCCTCCCAAGTAGCTGGGACTACAGGTGCCCGCCACCACGTCCAGCTAATTTCTTTGTATTTTTAGTAGAGACGGGGTTTCACCATATTAGCCAGGATGGTCTCAATCTCCTGACCTTGTGATCCGCCCTCCTCGGCCTGCCAAAGTGCTGAGATTACAGGTGTGAACCACCATGCCTGGACAACGGTTCTTATTCTTAACAGGTTTTTGCATCTTACAGCTTCTAAGGAATGGCCCAGTTTATTAATAACCATCAATTGCCTAGGATTTTATAGTCAGCAAATCATTCTTAGGTACCTCATCCCAGCTGCGCCTCACAGTAGCTCAGTGAAGTAGGCACTGTCACCACCCTGTTTAGCAGTGAGCAAACTGATGCTTGGTAACTTAACCCAGGTTCCTCAACTGCAAATAAGGTCATCTGGACTCTAGAACCTGTAGTCTTGCCAGTATTCCAAGCTCTCTGGACCCTCCGTCTTCTGCTTGGGACCAGAAGAGTTTCAGCTTTCAGTTTGTTTCGGATTTTAGAATATTTGCATGATACTTCCTGGTCGTGTGCCCCTAATCCAAACTCCAGAATCCTCCAGTGAGCGTTTCCTTTAGCATCATGTTGGGGCTCAAGAAGTCTTGGATTTTGGCGTGTTTCAGATCTCTGATTTTCAGATTAGGGATGCTCAATCTATATAAAATGCTGGGAGAAGGAAAAAAAAAATTCAGTGAAGAAAAAAAGTAATGAGTAGCGGCTGAACTGTCTGCGGAATCTCCAGTGCCACGTTAGGTCTGGCAGAGACACAGAGGAGAAGAGAATTAATATTCATTGAGCACCTTTTCTGGTGCCTAGGACTGTGCTGGGCACTTGTGTCATTACTGTCTCATTTGTCCAGCCCAGAGCAGGCAGATGCCATCTCCCTAATTTGTAGCCAACACCACAGGGATGATGACAGGCCTGATGATAAGTCCTGCCTTTGAGCCCAGCTCGCCTCTCTCCACTGTCTCTTTGTTTTCTACCAAACAGCCTCCCCTTAAGCCAAAGTCAGCAGCAGGTAGCTCTCAGTGTTCCCCTTTGAGGCTTGGCATCCAAGGCGGGCACAGAATCTTGAAAGTCATGATTCAGGCCGGGCACGGTGGCTCAAGCCTGTAATCCCAGCACTTTGGGAGGCCGAGACGGGCGGATCACGAGGTCAGGAGATCGAGACCATCCTGGCTAACACGGTGAAACCCCATCTCTACTAAAAAAATACAAAAAACTAGCCGGGCGCGGTGGCGGCGCCTGTAGTCCCAGCTACTCGGGAGGCTGAGGCAGGAGAATGGCGTAAACCCGGGAGGCGGAGCTTGCAGTGAGCTGAGATCCGGCCACCGCACTCCAGCCTAGGGACAGAGCGAGACTCCGTCTCAAAAAAAAAAAAAAAAAAAAGAAAGTCATGATTCAGGGAAGGATCACTCCCCTTGGAAGAGTTCAAGTATTGGAGACGGCAACAGTGGACTCTGTGTTTTCTCACCGGTGTGGGGATCTGTGCAGATTGGGGGGTGGGCCGCCACATCCATTGGCAACCGAGGACTCGGGAGACAGACGCTGTGAGAGACACTGAGTAGCAGCTGCCTCAGGCTCTGAGCTAATGCAGGAGGTGACTAGCCTGGTGCTAGCTTTGGCCGAACCTCCTGGATTGATGGCATGCCGAATAGGCAGGATGCCTGGGAGAACCAGCTCTCCTAGCCTTGGAAGTCAGAGAGGCCTGCCCTGGTTTGAATTACAGCTTGGCCACTTCCTGGCTGTGCGACCTTAGGCAGGATCCTCACCTTCTCTGAGCCTTAGTTTCATCATCTGTAAAATGGGTTTAACAATAGAGGTTGTGTATGTATAGCGCCTGGCACGGTCCCTGGCGTGTCCCCCGAACTTATTCTGCCAAGCGGCAGCACTAAGAGACCAATTTGAGAGTCACAGAAGGTTTATGCTTTCTGGGCCCCTAAGGACCATTTACTCTACGTGCATTTATGCAAGCATTTCCAGTGGACCCTGCTACAGACTAGGTGGGAACCGGGGAGACTCAGCATATAGAACCCCCTGAGGGCCTCGAAGAGGACAGCCTGCCAAGCTCCCATGTCAGGAGCCATCAGCCTCCAGTGTGGCTTTGCTGGGTCACGTAGCCACAAACGTTCAGGACAGAAGTGCAGCCGTTGGCCCGGGGTAGCAGGGGCGGGGGAGGCTCTAGCCATTCAGCCTTTCTGGAAGGAGCTTTGTAGCCTGGCACCTGTGGCTGGAGTTCAGATGTTACCCGAGGATTTGGGCTTTCTTTTTAAAAACAAGAAAAAGGAAAGAGCAGAAGAAAACCATGCCAGCGCCTCCTGGACGAAGGGAGAGGCAGACTGCCGTCGGCCTGCGTGTGAAGCGCTTTATAAGCTCTGTATTTATTATTTCTTGCTCACCATTAAAATCAAATGTACTCAGTGCTTTTGTATTCAATACACATTTAACCCTGCCGACTTAGATTTCTCAGGTTTTAAATCCAGTGGGGAATTGGCTGGCTTCCCAAGTTTCCCCTCCAGTCCCCCTTGAACAGAGCTGGAAATCTCTGTTTAGCATTTTCTCCCCTGGCGCGGCAGGGATCCTCACACTGGTGGGGCCAGTCACTGTTGTGTGTGCCTGTGGGTTTCTTCCTTCATCCCCCATACCCACCCTTCCTAAGCACCCCAGAAAGATGGGTGTGATGGCTGAAATATGACAAGACTTGTCTGCATAGTCTGTGATTCAGGCTTCATTAATAAACCATTTTGTCTGTATGTGTCTGTGCCTGGTTGTGGCCCGCCGCCATGCACGTGCGAGGGTGCGTGTGCGTGAGTGTGTGATTCATACATGTGCCTTCACCTCTTGCGCGTGCCTCTGTGAGTGTGCATTTCTGAGATAGTGTTTACGTGGAAGTCTGGAGGCCTCAGTATATCTCGGGATGGTCATGTCTGTGAGTGTAATTTTGTGTCTGGCTTGTCCACACCAGTCAGGTGTGTGTAACTCTGGGTAGGTCAGCAGCTGTGCTGGTGACCAACCGCCTCTGGGTCTGGTGTCTTTCTCTCCCTCCCCAGCCTCCGCGGCTCCGGCTCTGTGCTCCCCACCCCCGCCCCTCCCCCACTGCTCTGTCTGTTTTATCATCCCTAATGAAGCAGTCTCCTCCACCGATCCCGCTGATTGCCAACCCATTCCTTTTGTTTGTTGGCGCTGAGCCATTCAGCGGCACTCTGACAGCTCAGCTCGTCTAATTAGCTCTGTTGTTCTTTTTCCCCATGTTTCACCACGTTGCAAGTTCAGTTGAAGTTGCCACAAACTTAATCCCCCCATTTCAGCCACAAGTTCACATTCTTAACCCGCCTTTATTGTAGCAAGGAGCAGCCCTGTGCAAGGACGAGCTGACAGGCCTTAAAGTCTGATCTTTCCTGAAAGCTCTGCCCCAGGGCCCCCCGGGGCAGGGGCAGAACTGCTCCTTCACCCTCCCCACACTCCCGCCTTTTGTGGGGAGAAGTTGGGGGTGGGGATCATTCCAGCCAGGTGACCCTGTTGACCAGCTGCCAGAGCTGGGGAAACCAGTTCAGAGTTAGAAGAGGTGCGGGGATATCCACTTGTTTATTCAGCACATGTTGCCTGAATGTGAGCTGTGTGGCAGGCACAGTTCTAATCACGATGATACTAGCAACGTCATTATGCACTTCTCACATTCCGAGCAGCAATGTTCACTTGTTCCTAAAAATCTTGCTGAGCGACCATGACACCCAAGGCAGTCCACAGAATGCGAGGCAGGGATAAGAGAATCCTAAAACTCATCTTCTAACTCAGAGACACCCACTCTTCGTCTTCCTTTTGTTGTTGACAAGAAGGGACATCCAGGTCACAGAGGAGCAGGATGAACATTTATTGAGCCCCCACTGTGTACCAGACCCCATGCGGGGACTTGCCCTGTATCAGGTCTTCACAATCACCCCATAGACGAAGACAGCCAGTTTGGTGGAATGCATTTGGTGTTTACCACATCCCTGATCTGCCAAACCAGTCTGAGATCAGACTGGCCACTCCACAGGAAAAACTTTGGTTAGATCACACGTGCACAGACCTGAGGGCTTGATGAGACTCCATAAAAACTTGTCTTTTATGCAGCCAGCTTCTGTCATCTGTGTTCCTAAGCCATTGTGCCGTGTCACCCACAAGCTTCTGGGGGGCGGGAGGTGTGATGTTCAGGAGAAGGGGCGGGCAGGAAATGGAGTGTGTGCCTGCTGTCCTTCCCTGTCTTGTCCTGGAAACTCAGCAGCTGTGGCATCCCATCCGTGGAGAAAGCAAGCCCCCTGCCCCGGCAGGCTTGGTGGTTTTTATCGGCAATGAAATTCAGAGATAGACTTTCTCAGCTTAGCTCTCAACCCATCCCTCTCAGCCACTGGGACTGTACGGAGATGACCGTGCCAAATTAAAGCCGTGGAATGTCAATTGGACCAAATGAGTATACTTCTAAGGGCACCTACAAATTCTCAGCCTAACATCCATCACGGGCTCTGGCAGGGGATGAGGGTGCCTTTCTCTGTGGGCCCTCATCTTGGTTTTCAGACGCAGTAGGTACGAAAAACCCATCCCGCTGTTGCAGCAGCAGCTGTGGAGTTAGGAAGCTGGGTCCTTCCTGATGTACCCGCTGGAGGCCCTCCCACTAGGTCTGCTCAGTGCATGTAGCTACGCAAGATGGGCAGCATCCAGGCTGAACTCTGCTGGGAGGACCGGCACGGGGATGCCCTGGGAAACAGAAAGACGATTTGTAGTGGCACTCTCTCATGCCTCTCTTATTTAGAGAGGAAAATAAGCACCCTGTGATTCTGTTGTAAAAAGAGCAAACTAAGCATGTGCACCCTAAAAACAGGTGTGAGCACAACCTTTTCTTTCTACAAAACCAGCTTCTGGGCGTCAGAGGAAGATGAGAGGGAATTGTCATTGATAAGGGACTCTTGGTTCTGGGTCCTATGTAGACATCATCTCATTGGACCCTCACTGCAGCCCTGCAAGGAAGCCAATGGAACTATCCTCATCTTGCAGATGAAGAAACCGAGCTTTCCAGGAGCACCTTTCTGATTTAAATAGACCACAGAATTCCAGTTAATGTGTCTATCTGCTGCCTATTAGATGGTGATGCTTCTGTGATAGGCTGGGCTATTGTAGCCTGTAGCTTTGAAATTTCCTAAACATTTTTGGGGGGTGGGGGTGTTTATCCAAATCTTCAGAATGTTCCTGTATGGCTTTTCCAACTCACTCCTTCTTGGGGTCTCCCCCTGTACTCCTCTAGGTGCGCCCACCTCGTCCTCATGTTGTTAAGAGACCAAAGAGCAACATCACAGTGGAAGGCCGGAGGACGTCTGTGCCGAGCCCTGAGCAGTGAGTATCGCACCTCTCCCCTCTGTCTGCAAGAACCCTCCGTCTGCGGGGCCAGCACTTTGTGGAGCTCCAGCGTGTAGCCCTGGCCTTTGTGAGGCTTCCCCGGGGCCCCCAGTGGGTGTTTCACAAAGGGGTCATTCAGCGAACAAGGCTTGATCTCTTACTCGGTCTGGTTGTCACACCAGCGGGAGGCCCCAGAGGCCAGGGAGCCAGGCACTTGGGCTGGATTTCGAGTGGTGGGGTCCAAAGCGTACTTGGCTGGGTTCAGAAGAAGGTCCTAGGCCTCTTGTGCTGAACATACCGAGTCAGTAGGTGAGGGTTAGAACCTGGTGAAGGAGGCCAAGTGTTGAACTGGGTCCACCCACCTTCCTAGGCCTCCATGGCCGAGATCTGTACACAGGACTGCCCTTATCCACTGCCCCAGCCCCACCAGGACCCTTTGCCCACCTGTGCTGGAGCATTTATGTTACTGTGGTTTTTCTTTTTTTTTTTTTTTTTTTTGAGACAGAGTCTTGCTCTGTTGCCCAGGCTGGAGTGCAGTGGCCGGATCTCAGCTCACTGCAAGCTCCGCCTCCCGGGTTCACGCCATTCTCCTGCCTCAGCCTCCCAAGTAGCTGGGACTACAGGCGCCCGCCACCTCGCCCGGCTAGTTTTTTTGTATTTTTTAGTAGAGACGGGGTTTCACTGTGTTAGCCAGGATGGTCTCGATCTCCTGACCTCGTGATCCGCCCGTCTCAGCCTCCCAAAGTGCTGGGATTACAGGCTTGAGCCACCGCGCCCGCCCGGCCCGCTGTGGTTTTTCTTACACATCTCCCTGAGATGCCGCGCTCCCTGGGTGTTATGCCCGGCATAGAGTCAGGTGAATGAGGGAGGCAGAAAGACAAGCAGTGGCCTGAGGTGGAGCTGCCTGTGGGGGGCGAGGCAGAAGGCTGCAGACAGCCCCGAGTCCAGACCAGAGCTGTCTGCAGAAGGTAGTGCTGCTTCCCTTTGTCCGCAAGGCGCACAGCCCTCGGTCTCTATCCAGACAACTCAGTGACTACACCCTGGCTTCCTGTGATGCCTTGAAAAAGTGCATGAGTTCATCTTGGTCTAGGATTGTTGGAGGAGTCAGAAAAATTACCCCAGGGATCCTGAAGTCATTGGGGTGGAAAGGGGAAGGCCCCCGTGTCTGGCTGGCTCTCAGAAAATGTCTCAGGGAAAGAAGGTAAGGGACATGGCAGGTCCTAGACAGAATTGGAGTGAGAAGGGGGAAAAATGATTTCAAACTGTCAAGCTGGGGCCTAACCCAAGTTTCAGTTCACTTCAGCTGCCTGGGATTCTCTGGTTAATAGTAAGGGGAAGGAATCAGCCCACCCAGACAGCCCTCAGACTTTGCCCAGAAAGTCCTGGAATTATGTGTGCGTGTGTGTGTGTGTGTGCACGTGCTTGCACACAAGGATGCTAAGTTATGAGAAATTTGGAAGAGAGGACTCCTGAAGTTGGATTAAGTTTAACTTTTGCTCTGCACAATAGCCTGGTGGGAACATTGAGGGATGGATTATGATTGCCCCCTTGTGGAGAGAATGCTGCATGGCACCTGAGTGCCTCCGACTACAGATTCTTCCTTAAGGGGATGAAATTTGTCACATTTCTTTAAAGTCACACCTTTAAAACTGGACTAAGCCTTTTAGACACTGTACCAGGATACAAGGTCACAGGCCTGTTGATATTGAGATGTAAACCCAGAATATTCTCGCATTACACAGAAACACCATTGCAACACCAGCTACACTCCACATCCTACAGAAAAGCATTACCCATTTTGTGGCCAAGTTCCCGATGAGAGGCTGGACCTCTTCATCACATTGACTTACGCCGTTGCCTTTCCAGACCGGGCAGAGGGGCTGACTCCGCAGTGTGTGCCAAACAGCCAGTGTCTGATGATCCCGTTTTCCTGCTTATCACCTGAGCCGTGTCAGTATCACTTTCGGGTTTGTTGGTTGGTTAGTTGTTTCAATATGCCCTGTTTTCTACTTCTGTTGGGAAATATTTAGAGTTGAAATAAACCAGTGGGAGCTTGGGAGCCAGTTTGGTGGTTGACAAACTAACAGTGATAGAAAACAAATGACAGGTTTTCTGTGAGCATATGTCACAGCGGCTCGGGCCCACAAGGAGATAGAGGGGTACGTTTCAGGACATCATTCCAAGGGTTTCTGTTCAAGTGTGTTTAACAAGGAAGGGGAGGTTGTTCTCCCATAATGCCAGTGGCATTTCTGGTGCAACCGGGGTGTTTTTCTACGCCTCTTCCCATGCTGCCTCCCCACCCCCCCACTGTGCTCCGCCCCTTCCAAATGCCATGTCACAACAGCACTTGGATGTGTTTTTCTCAACTGTCATCAGCTCCAGCTGGCAGGACCAACTTCTTGAAACACAGGAAGCATCCAGCGGAAAATATTTTAATAAAACAGACTCCTCATAAAATATTGTTCGGGGGAGGGGGGAAGAAACCGACTCCACCAATCTGTCGGCATTGTATTGGGAGATGTGAGAAGCCAGGCCGGCAGCAGGGGCCCGATCCTAATGGGCCTTTGTTGGGTGGTGGTTCCGGGTTGGGCACACAGACTCGGTGCCTGGCCCTTTAATCTGGCCTGGGTTTTCTTGAATCACAGATCTTCATCTCCACTGGGAATATCAAAGTGCTTGGGAAACTTAGAGGACCAGGGCGGCAGAAGGGGATGCAGGATCTTTGAAGTGGAGGAAAGAGATCCATTCCTTCTGACTTCTTGCCCCAACTGTCACTTCCAATTGCACATTAAATAATTCCAGCACTTTAGGAGGCCAAAACGGGCGGATCACCTGAGGTCAGGGGTTCGAGACCAGCCTGGGCAACATGGTGAAACCCCGTCTCTACTAAAAGTACAAAAATTAGCCGAGTGTGGTGGTGCACCCCTGTAATTCCAGCTACTCGGGAGGCTGAGGCACAAGAATCACTTGAACTGAGGAGGCGGAGGCTGCCAAAAACTGAGATCACACCACAGCACTCCAGCCTGTGCAACAGAGACTCTGTCTCAAAAATAAAATAACCCGCTCTATGGACAGCAAGTTAGGGCTGATTGAGAGCAAGATTGTCTCCTGGAATAGCTGACTCTCTGGCCAGTCCACCCGTGAAGTTCATTTCTTCCTTCTCAGCGGATGTCCATCCTTCCGTCGTTCCATCTGTCCATTCATGCATTCATTCATTCAGCAAGTAACTTTGAAAACCTACTAGGCACAAGCACGTAATCTTTTTTTTAAAGGAGGCCTTAAAAGGGAGTTCCCATGCTGACCCTTGGTTGACTTGCATTCTCCCAAAATGAAATTTTCCTGTGTCAAATTTTCTTTCTGAATCAACGGTAGGTTTCCTAGCCCCTTAAAACTGGCCGTTGACAATTGGAAGAAGACTTCAAAAAGATTTCCGGGGGAAACATTCCCTCTACTTTTCAGGTGACATTACTTGGTTAATATTCAGTTACTAAATCTCTTCAAGAAGTACTGGCTGCTTCCATTACTATTCAGAGCACAGCTAGTTGATGGGATGCCCGGGGCTTCCCTGGGGCAGGGATCAGGGTAGGAGGGATCCTGCAGGAGAGGCTGTGGGTTAGACACCAGTCAGCAGGGGGTACAGTGGAGCACCCATTGATTTCTAGGCCCTCTTGGGCTAGCATCGTTTCTTCCAGAGTGGGAGCTCAGGCTCAGAACGTGGATTTGACCAGTCTTCCCAAGGTCACCCAGTTGAAAAGTGACCGGGCCAGCATTCACAATTCTTGATTTCATTCTCTCCATGACACTCTTGATGCTGTCCTTGGAATGGGGCCCTTGAGGGTCCGTCTTTAGGCTGGCTTTGCCCAGAGAGAGCTCCACATCCTAAAATGAGATGGCCTGTCTAGCAGACCACCCTTCCTCTCTGGTTCCCTGAAGGCTGGAGTTCAGTCTGAACTGGATCTGTTCAGTCTTCTTACCACCAAAGAAACCATGTGCGCTCGTGCCTGACTGTTTCTTCTTGGGGAAGGAAAGAGAAATGACATTTACCAAACATCCCTTAAGATTGTCAAAGGTATTAGCTGGGCATGATGCCATGTGCCTGTGGTCCCAGCTAGTTGGGAGGCTGAGGCATGAGAGTTGCTTGACCCCTGGGGAGTTGAAGGTTGCAGGGAGCTGAGATCATGACACTGCAGTCCACCCTGGGCCTCAGAGTGAGACCCTATCTCAAAAAATAAAAAAAGATTGTCAGAGGTAGGTGGTAGCTTTCCCATTGAACAGACAGAAAAATTGAGGCTCAGAGAGACTTTCAGTAACTTGCCCAAGGTTTCTCGGGGCCAGAAAATGGTAGGATCGGCTGTCTGATGACAGAGGCCTGGTCCATTCTTCTCTACTATCCAGGCTTTCTGTTAAGACCTAATTATCCTCATGTGCTTCTCTGACTAGTGGGGATGATGGCTGTGGCAGTGAGGTTCACAGCTTCCCTCCTATTAAAAGTGGGCCATGGCCAGGTGCGGTGGCTCACGCCTGTAATCCCAGCACCTTGGGAGGCTGAGGAGGGTGGATCACTTGAGGTCAGGAGTTCAAGACCAGCCTGGCCAATATGGTGAAACCCCATCTCTACTAAAAATACAAATAATTAGCTGGGTGTGGTGACACATGCTTGTAATCCCAGTTACTAGGGAGGCCAAGGCAGGAGAATCGCTTGAACCCAGGAGGTGGAGCTTGCAGTGAGCCGAGATCACACCACTGCACTCCAGCCTGAGTAACAGGACAAGACTCTGTCTCAAAAAAAAAAAAAAAAAACCAGAAATAAAACAGGCTGTGGTGGTTTCTGCGGGCTGTGCATGGCTGCCAGGCCCCAAGTTATTTTCCTTTTGGCCTGCCAGATATAGGGGAATTGCCCATCCAACTGGGTGCTTGGAAAGAGCCAATGGCAGGCTCTGAAAGGCAGCGTTGTGGTCTGAGCTGCCGGGCCCCTCAGGGTGGCACACTGTACGCAG